CTCTGTCCCAAAAATAAATAAACGTTGAAAAAAAAATTAAAAAAAAATAATAATAAAAATAAAAAAAATAAATAAAAATTTTATGGACTCTGAAAAAAAAATTATAGCCTCTGAAACACCAAAAGTTTGAGGTTGTTTGAAGGATAAAAATAACAAGTAATATGTATTTTCATAGCACCTAAGAACCTTTTGCCTTAGGGGAAAAGATACTAGCTTCAATAGCCACTTCAAATCTTCTTTGGAAGAAGGAAGATAGGACATAAATAAATTGATAAATTAATCCCAACATTCTACTAATGATAACCCTTAAGATACTGCCTTGTAAATATCTTCTTAGTACGTTCAATATTATAAATGTCATTTTTTAACACAGTTTTACACAAATGGCAGATACTAATGTCTGTGGTATTTTAGCACAAAACCTTAATCATGCATGCAATTTTTAGAGAATTTTCAGCTGGCTCTAAATGTTTTAGGCTTATGCTGCTCATAAACCTCAGAATGTTAAAAAGAAGAGGATCCAATTCATTCCCCTCACTTCAAAACAAGGATATATGACCAAAACTGCCAGGATTAGAGAGCTGGTTAACGGCGGAGCTGGGAAGGGCACCCAGGGCTCCCCTCCGCCTCCTGCTCTTTCCGCCCTAACATCTTCCACCTGTGACAACTCTGTAACAGTGCTTAACTGGTGCTGCACTCTCTGAGAGCTCCAGCCCATACTGATTTTTGCTCATTCCACAAATATTTATTGGGCACGTGCCTCATATTAGGCACTGTGCCAAGTACTGGGAACACATGGATAAACAAAGACAGTAGGAAAGACTGACAAAGTGTATGTGATACTGTATGTAAGCTACATTCTATAGAAACTGAATCAGGGGCCTGGGTGGCTCAGTCAGTTAAGCATCCAACTTTTGGTTTCAGCTCAGGTCATTATCTCACAGTACATGCTTGGAATTCTCTCTCCCTCTCTTTCTCTGCCTCTCTCTCTCTCTCTCTCTCTCTCTCTCTCAAAATAAATAACTTTAAAAAATTTTTTAAAGAAACTGAATCAAACGGAAATATTCTTTTTAAAAACTTGTTTTGGGGGCGCCTGGGTGGCGCAGTCGGTTAAGCGTCCGACTTCAGCCAGGTCACGATCTCGCGGTCCGTGAGTTCGAGCCCCGCGTCAGGCTCTGGGCTGATGGCTCAGAGCCTGGAGCCTGTTTCCGATTCTGTGTCTCCCTCTCTCTCTGCCCCTCGCCCGTTCATGCTCGGTCTCTCTCTGTCCCAAAAATAAATAAACGTTGAAAAAAAATTTTTTTAAAAAAACTTGTTTTGAATAGTTAACATTTGCTCATTCTACTCAAAATAAATGACTTAAATCAATTACTTTTGAACCTCGGTTCCTTAGAGTCCCAGGGCATTTCTTTTTCATACTATTTTTGACCAAGATTGTATACTATTTAGCATATACCGTTCTATGCTGTTTTCCAATTATATCACATAAGTCTTGGATCTCCAAAGAAACCAATGTCCTAAAAGGTAAAAATCATTTCTATACTTTAGCATTTCTACAGCCCTAAGTATAATGCTGATCACAATAGTTCCCTTAATACATTTTAGTTTTCCTTCCCTTACTGACTTAAAAAGAGAGAACTAGGAGAAAGTATTTGCAATCATTTATATAAGGGATGTATATCTAGAATAAAGGACCATTACAAACCAATAATAAAAAGACGAAATAACCCAATTTTAAAATGAGTAAGGGATCTGAATAGACATTTTTCCAAAGAGGAACAGCCAGTGAGTATCTGAAAAGATATCCAACACCTTTACCATCAGAAAAATGCAAATCAAAGCTACCATTTCCCACCCAGTAGGAGGGCTGCAGTCAAACACTGAGACAGCAACAAGTGTTGGAGAGGGTGTGGAGACACTGGGACCCTTATACACTCCTGATGGGAATGTAAAATGGTGCAGTTGCTATGGAAAACATTTGGCAGTTCCTTAAAAAGTTAAATATAGGGTCACAATACCTAGTAATTCCATTCCTGGTACCCACCCCAGACAAATGAAAACAGCTGTCCACACAAAACTTGTACCCGACTGTTCACAGCATTATTCATAAGAGCCAAAAAGTGGAAACAACCCAAAGGTCCATCAAATGATAAATGGATAAAATGTGGAATATCCAATGGAATATTAATTTGCCATTAAAATTAGTGAATTAATGATACATGATACAGGTGAACTTTTTAAGTATTAAGTATTATGCTAAGTAAAAGAAGCCAGTCACAAAGACTATATATTATATTATATGATTCCATTTACATGAACTATCCAGAATAGGCAAAGAGGATGGTTTGGGGGAAGAGGGAGGAAAAAAATGTTCAAATGTCAATTTTGATGACAGTCACACTAGCCTGAATATACTAAAAATCAGTGAATCATGCACTTTAAATAGGTGAACTAAATGGTGTGGGAATTATATATGGATAATGCTGTTACTAAAAAGAGAAACTTACAGCACTTTGGTGGCTCAGCCAGTTAAGTAGTCTACTCTTGATTTTGGCTCAGGTTGTGATCTCACGGTTTGTGAGTTCAAGCCCCACGCCGGGCTGTGCACTGATATCGCAGAACTTGCTTTGGATTCTCTCTCTCTGCCCTTTCCCTGCTTGTATTCTCTCTAGATAAATAAATAAGCTTTAAATAAATAAATATATATATATAAATTTATATACATATATATAAATTTATATATATATATATACACACACACATATACACACATACACACACACATATATATATAAAGAGAACCTCTTTATGACTGAATTATGACTAGGAAATACGTGTACAATACAGCAGTGAATCACAGTTGAGAACATGTAACAAGCAATATAGCTATAACCTTTGGAAAAATCTTATTTGAATAGTTACCCCACAAGTTTTCCTTTGCAAATAATAAAAATAAAACCAAATGTGCAATGCCACTGCACTTATTTTCTTTCTTTCTAATATTTTATACCTTTCCTAGTAATAGTCTATTTTTTTTTTAATTAAGACTTTATTCCTCTAAACAAACACTGGTGAATTCTACCAAACATTCAAAGAAGAATTAACACTAACCCTTCTCAAATTCTTTCAAAA